GCGGTGCGTGAGGTGCTGCCTCGTCCGGTGCCCTGCCCCGTAGCTGGCCCGTCCCTGGCGGTGCCGGTCTGGGGTGCGTGACGCTCCCATGCACCTCTCGGACGGGCCAAAGTCCTGAAGCAGGGCTGGGGGCCTGGTGTGGGTCGGGGGCCACAGAGAACTCAGCCGGGGACCCACACAAGTGAGGAGCAAAGCCCCCGAACCAAACCCTCCCGGACGTGGCCCCGACTGCGGAGACAGGCTCCCCCACACTCCCCTCGCACCCCGGAGCCTGGGGGCCCAGGCGAGTAGATTTACTGCTCCAGCCCCACGGTGGGGCGGCAGGGACGGGGGAGCGGCTCTCACCAGCATCCCCTGTCTGCCTGGCAGATCTGCAAGCCGCCCACATGGCCCGGCCCATGGAGCGGGCGCTGGAGCTGATGGTCTCCACCTTCCTGCTCCAGCCCCACGGTGGGGCGGCAGGGACGGGGGAGCGGCTCTCACCAGCATCCCCTGTCTGCCTGGCAGATCTGCAAGCCGCCCACATGGCCCGGCCCATGGAGCGGGCGCTGGAGCTGATGGTCTCCACCTTCCACAAGTACTCGGGGAAGGAAGGCGACAAACACAAGCTCAACAAGGCAGAGCTGAAGGAGCTGGTGACCAAGGAGCTGCCCAGCTACATCAGCGTAAGTGAGGGGGGGCTCAGACTGACCGGCCCACCCTGCTCCACACAGGCCTCAGGAGTGGGTGCAGGAGCAGGCCGGGCCGGGGGGATACCAACCTACTACTGCTACCAGCTAAGAATGACTCCTTTGGCTCGGGTGGCAGAGGTCTTTGGGGCGAAAAGCCCCCTTATAAACGCAGAGCCTCCTTTCCCAGGGGGCTGCGTGTGGGTGACTGGAGACCTGCCGGGGCGACGGGCATGTGAGCTGTGGCTGCTGGCAGCAGCTGAAGGCAGGGAAGAGGGAAGCCCCCGGGGGCCCTGCCTGTGGGATGCTCCCCCAGCGGAGATGCAGCGAGGCGGGGGGAGCTGCAGCGAGGGGGGCACGTGCTCC